AATACTTCATTATTAATTAAATAAGTAGATGAAATAAAATAAAATAATACAAGTTATAACAAAAACAATAGAGAAGTGGCGTGCAGCCACTCTCTACAAGTTATATATACATTATTATTTACTTTATTTCCTTTTCCTTTTAATTCCAAATCATAAAAGAAAATATCAACTTTATTTGATAAAAAATAAATCTTAATTAAGTATAATAAGTTTAATTTATTTTAATTAATTAATTCATTATGAATTAGTAAATAATGAAATTCCAAATAGTTTAATTTATGTAAACTTGTAAATAACAGTTTACAAGTAATTGGTTCATGTAAATGGGTGATTTTAATAATATAATGTATGAGTTTGAAAAAAGAGGTGTGCACGGTCAGTCACAATGGCTAATGTCGGGTTTTCGTAGTGCTGTGTGGGAAAGTGGTTTATCAAATTTTCCTTTTGATGGCCACCAATTTACTTGGGAAAGAGGCAGGGGTACGGTGAATTAGATGGAAGAAAAACTTGATCGTATATTGGTGTCGGAAGGTTGGCTGGATTTGTTCGGGAAAGCTTGGGCGACATTGGTCAACGGGGCGCAAGTGATCATATGAGACTTTTCCTTAAGTATGAGAGTAGTAGAGAACAAAGGGGTTCCCAGGCATTTAAATTTGAAAACCATTGGCTGAGAGAGGAGTGCAGCGAAATCGTTGAGCAAGTCTGGGATAAAAGCAGAGGGCAAGAATTGAAAGATCATCTGCAGTTATGCGGGGTGGAGTTGGGCATGTGGGGGAGTAAATACATGAGAGGTTTTTAGAAACAGATTGATTGCTGCAAAAGACAAATGGAAAGACTTAGGGACATGTTGGACCCGACGAGCATTGCTTGTTTTACACAGGCTAAAGCAGATTATATGGCTTTACTGATGAAGCAAAATGATTTCTGGAAACAGAGAGCGAAAGATGTCTGGCTGGAGATAGGAGACGCAAATACGAAATATTTTCATAATTCTGTGAAGCAGAGGAGAAAAAACCTCATAAAAGGGGTTCGGGCCGGGTCGAGGGATCTAAGTGGGTAACTAATGAGATTGAAATTGGGAACAATTATTTGCAAAATTTTAGTCAGTTATTTACTTCAGGAGGCTGCTTTGGAGGTGAGGGGCTAAGATCACCGAGGGCATATATCTCTAGACAGCAAAACAAAATAACATTTGGATGAGAGATTACTCCAGAGGAAGTGAAGAAAGCAGCTTTTGAAATGCACCCCGATAAAGCGCCAGACCCAGATGGTTTAAATCCGGGTTTCTTTCAACATTTTTGGGGTTTGGTTGCCCTAGCGGTTGTTCATTTCTGTGAGATAGCTTTTCGGACAGGGAAAATAAGGGTGGGCTATAATGATATGACATTAATCCTTGTGTCTAAGAAGGATAAGCCAGAAGATATTAAGGATTGGCGGCCTATTTCCCTTTGCAAGGTGGCTTATAAAATATTTGCTAAATTACTAGCGAATAGAATGAAAGGTCTTCTTGATAAAATTATCTCCAAAAATTAAAGTGCTTTTATCCCTAAAAGATCTATTGTTGATAATATTATTGTTGATAATATTATCGATGCGTTTGAAGTGCATCATTACTTGAAGAGGAAAATACAGGGAAAAGATGGCTATGTAGCCTTAAAGCTGGATATGAGCCAGACCTATGACAAAGTCGAGTTGTCATTTATACGGCTAATGACGACCATGCTAGGTTTTGATGAGTGATGATGAATATTATTATGGAATGTGTTTCAATAGTTAAATATTCCCTCCAGATAAATGGGAACTCTTGGGTCCATTGCTGCCTACTCGGGGATTAGACAGAGAGATCCTTTATTTATTTATTTATTTATGTATTTATTTATTTATTTATCTATTTATTTATTTATTTATTTATTTATTTATTTATTTATTTATGTATTTATCTATCTATCTATCTATTTATTTATTTATTTATTTATTTATTTATTTATTTATTTATTTATTTATTTATTTATTTATTTATTTATTTATTTATTTATTTATTTATTTATTTATTTATTTATTTATTTATTTATTTATTTATTTATTTATTTATTTATTTATTTATTTATTTATTTATTTATTTACTCTCATTGAAGAGGGTTTCAGCGAGCTGATTCAGGCGAAGTAGGCGAGTGCATAAATGCAAGGCGTGCGTGTTGCAAAAATGCTTCGGTAATATCTCATTTGCTCTTTGCTGATGATAGTTTTTTATTCTTCAAGGCTCGCGAACAGGATGTTATGTGATGAAGGGTATTTTAACTGGTTAATTTTGAAAAACCAAACGTTCATTTCAGTGCAAATTTGGAGTGGGAAGATAGAGATTACTTGACGGAGGTTTTGGGGGTTAAAGAAGATAGAGGAGGAGGATGATATTTGGGGCTGCCTTCCTTAGTTGCGAGGAAAAGGAAAGAAATATTTGGTTATATGAAGGAACGTATTGTTCAACGAATTCAATGTTGGAATAATCATTTTTATCCAGAGCGGGGAGGGAGGTTTTGCTCAAAATAGTGATACATGCTATCCCTCAATATGCAATGAATGTATTTTTAATCCCCTTAGATCTTTGCGAGAAAATTGAGAGAGCTATGAATTGTTATTGGTGGCAAGGAGGGGTCAACAAGGGGAAGGGTATTAAATGGAAAAGTTGGGATGACCTGTGTGTTTCGAAGAATATGGGGAGGATGGGCTACAAGAAACTGAGGGAATTTAATTTAGCAATGCTGGGGAAGCAGGTTTGGAAAATTCTAAAACAACTTGGAGCTCTTTTAAGCAGATTACTGAAGGCTCGCTACTTTCCTAGTCAGTCTTTTTTAGAGGCCGGAGCGGGAATAATCCCTCTTTGATATGGAAAAGTATCTCTGAGGCAATTACGGTGGTCCGGGAGGGAGCACATTATCGCATTGGGCGTGGCTAGAGTGTGCGGGTTTGGGAGGACCCGTGGCTACCAACTGTGGAGGGTAATCGACTAACTTCTAATATTTCGCAAGGTCTTGAATGCATCACAGTAAGTTCTCTTTTGACTTTAAATGGGGAAAGTTGGGATGTAGATATTATTTCTTATATTTTCTAGGAGGAAGATAGGAAAGCTATCTTGGCTATACCGATCGGTAGAGTGGATGTGGCTCTATAATCCAAAAGGGGAGTACACGGTCCGAAGTAGCTACAAATGCTTACGAAGAAAGAAATGGGACGCCCGGTTTGGGCAGGGGTATGGAGTCTCGACATCCCCCCGAAGGTGAAGGTTTTTTTTCCTGGCAAGCATGCACGGATAGTCTTCCAACAAGAGATAAACTAAGGCAAAGACGTGTCCCAGTAAATTCCATTTACCCGCTGTATGAGACGCATCAGGAGATTGTCATCGACGTCATTCGGGACTGCACCGTAGCTAGATCACTGTGGAGGAACAAGCGGTCAGGGGCAGGGGGTACTTCGGTGGCGGATTGGGCTGGAAATACACTACAAGGAATGACTAAAGAGGGGGTTGGAGTGTTTGTGATGATGTGCTGGAGTCTGTGGAAGATAAGGAATGATAAAGTGTGAAAAAAGAAAAAAGTGGACTGGAAGGGCCCCGAGAGTGTGGGTGTGGCGGTACTGAATGGATGGAAGGAAGTCCATAAAAACTAGATAAAGGAGGCTAATACGAAAGAAGTGGAGCAAGCAAGAGAGAGGATATATAAAAATAAATGTGGATGGAACCTTGGGTCAAAGTGGTATGAGGATGAGTGTTGGCTTACTTGTTAGAGATGAAGAGTGGCATTTTATCGCGGAGATGAGGAAGAGTTTTGTTGGGAGCATGGGAGCAACGACTACCGAGTTCTTGGCTATCGACGAAGCTGTGGAGTGGGCTATGCATCAGGGGTGGAGGCACGTGGTTATTGAGTCAGATTCTTTGCTTGAGGTCCAGGGTGTGCAGGGATCGTGAGGCTGCTCCTATGAGACTTTAATTTGTTAGTTGATGATATTAGACATATCATAGCATTAGGTGATGACATTTCTGTGCAGTACGTGTGACGATAAGCGAAATAGAGTTGCTGATGCTTTGGCTAAACAGGCTATTTTTGAGCCTGATTGTCTATGGTTTGATATGGTTTGATATACCACTGCACCTACTTGTATTTGTGACCTTTTTTGAAGGATATTCATGATTAATATATTTGATGTTTTGTGTCAAAATACAGCTTACATGATTCCGGTTTAAACTTCAAATTCCCATAAACTAATAAGTATTACTCATATGTCAATGAAGTTCATTCATAAACTTTTTAAAATCTATGAGCTTTAATCTGTGATTTAAAAAGAATCTATCACAAACACACCATCCATAATCCATGTATATGATATGAAAAACTCCTTTTATACATATTTTTTTTAATGACTCCCACCTATGTATCGAAATAACAATTGATAATAGTATAATCCAACCATTTACATTTCCTCTTAGGCTGGGTTTGCAAAACATTACAAAATGATTTTCACTTTTTGGTTTTAAAAAGTGAAATGAATGTTTTTATTTTATAATTTATTTTTAAATTAAACATGAAAAAGTAAAGAAAAATTGTTGGCGTGCGATTTTCACTATTTATATTATACAAAAACACTCAGTTGTAGTTAAAACACTCAGAGCCCGTTTGGAGACCTCTTTTTTCGGCTTATCAGGCTTATCAGCCAGCTTTTTCACCAAACACGTAACTTTTACTTTCGTGTGCTGAATTGTGTAATAAGCAGAAAAAGTAAGGTTGGAGTTACTTTTCTGACTGTATTGGCTGAAGTTACTGCAGAGGACCATTTTATCTATTTTTACATGTAATTTTTTCTTTAATTTATTAATAAAATATATTTTTAAAATATTTTTTTATTGAATCAGCAGAATCAGCCAAAACAGCCACTTCAGTCAGATTTTCATGCTACCAAACGGGCTCTTAGTTTTTTAGGCAACCCACACTCAGTTGTAGTTAAAACTTAAAACGAGGAATGCCAAAGACCCCGTGATAGTTGTAGCTAAAGCCTGAAAGTTGAAACACACATGCCTGTATGCCACAGGGGAGGATGCGTTGAAATGAGCAATGAGCCTCCTCTGCCGAGCACTTTCCTCCGGACAACCTCTCAAACTTCTTGGGTTAAGATATCGATCTTTCGGAACTTTGAATTTTTCCGGAGAGTCCCTCGACTGTTCCATATCACCTTCCCTCATCCATGGAATTCATGTATTCCACTGCCCAGTATGCCTTTTCCCCTAATTATATTCAATCTTAATGGACCTGACAATGTCTACGAATGAAAATCCATACATACATACAATGAATTATGTTCTGTGGATCAGGATGAAGTGGGAATTGTTGCAAAGCTTTCGGATTGCATAGCCTCGAAAGGAGGGAACATTCTTAATGCTGATGTCTTCGTGCCTGAAGATAAGCATGTTTTTTACTCAAGAAGGTCTACTTTATTCTCTATATGATTCAGGATGCTATGCCCCGTTCTGATCACTGATTATTTTTTGTTTGATTAGTTTGTTTGTGTGCCTTTTCTTGGTGGATTATGTGATTTTTTTATTATTTATCGCAGATGTGTTTGGTTCTATGATTTTGGAAAATGATGTTGCATTTTTAGTATTATTATATTGCTATTATTGTGGTTGAGGCTGTAGCAATGAATATTTAAGAAGTACTATGAACAAGGAGTTCTCCAATAATTTTTTTTACCCTTAAATAGGAGAGAAACATTATTTTCATCGAGCTATTTTTTACACAAATCTGAATGTTTAAACCAGGGCATCTTCAAATTGGAGAGACATAGTAGAGAAGTTGCCACAATATAACATGTATACCCACCCCTGTATTTTTGGGTGGTGTCTCATTACCTTGTGAGCAAGTGATGTGGTTGTGTGTTTTCTTCAATATATACAATCTCTGGATGACATAGTTTTTATAATGTAGTTATCCACACGTTTCAAGATTTCTTAATGAGTTAATGGTGGAATGATAAATAAATAAATAAAGTATGATTCTTTATTGTGAAACAAATGAGAAGATTTAAGAGGAAGTAATGCTTTCTTGGAATCTCGGGACACTTCGTAGCTCCAATGTCTTCTGCACTCTTCCCATTACAGGTCACTTATATTGAATCAAGGTTTCTAGATTGATGTGAATCGAATGGGAAGAATGAAGAAGACATTGTGCTTTGCTTGGAAAAAAATTGTTCTACTAATTCCACAGAAGTGATGGGGGCTGTGAATCTTTAAGCATTAGTTTCACCTAATAAGTTGTACTAAATCAAAAGTTTCCTGAACAGTACCATTTATTCTTTTATTGTGAAAAGCCAAGCGAGGTACACATAAATTGGTTTTGAATCATTATTTTTATTTGTACACTTCTTTTTTCAACAACCAAGTAGTTCGTTCAAAACTTAGCAGTTTGCACACATCAGACTTATTATGTCCCACACATTTTGAGTAACAACATACATGTTATCTTTTTTATTAAAGAAGTTTCCCTAAACAGGAGTATAACCCTGTTAAATTTCAAAATAGGAGTGGCATGTTTTTCTTTCCAAACAATATCAAAGCCTGATATTGCTTTGGCAGTATGATTTCAAGATGGAAGTAATTAACTTATATTTAGGGAAAAATAAAGTACTCCTATTTTAAAATTCCACATTGTTTTTACTCCTATTTTTTAAATTTCCCTTCTTAATATGGTTTACTATTGTTGCAACTTCCAGTGAATTTGTGTTTAATCCTGCTAAATGGCCACGTGTAAAAATGGATGAGGACTTCCTAAAGCTTTCAAGAACGTTCAATGCAACAACATCTATTGTTCGAGTGCCTTCTTTGGATCCAAATTATAAGATTGCAGTTCTTGCATCAAAGCAGGTCGTGGCTCTTAGGATGAAACAATCTCCATTGTCAACTTATGAGCAATATTTTGAATTTGGAAATTTTGTTGCTTTGCGTCCTGTGATTATTGAATCATTCGCATTTCCAACCCCAACCCTTTTTTCCCACTTGTGGTCTACAATTGCTGATTCCTTGTCACTTTTGGTTCATCCAACCACTTTTCTGATCAATTTGCGTAAGTTATTTTCCGGGTTTCACCGGGCATGTTAGAACTAAAGGTGACATGAAATCTGTGGTTAAGTGAAAAATGAAAGCTAGTGATGAAGAGTGGGAACTGGGAACTATCTAATAGTCATGGGACCAAAAGTGGAAATTTTTGCCTGAATATGCTATCATTGATGTGACTATGTTAGTGCAGGACCACTGTCTTGTAGATTTATTGCATGGGTGGCAGGATGGAAGACTTCCTGTTCAGATAACTTCTGTAATTAGGTAAAAGTTAGGTAATTTTTCGCCTCTAGCATGAAAAAAGAATATGTTCAGATTGCTTGATAATCTTCTCTACAGTAATCATGACAGAAGTCCAAACACCCATGTGATTCGATTTCTTGAAAGGCATGGAATTCCATATCATTATTTGGAGACTACTAAGGAGAATAAAAGAGAAAGAGAAATTTTGGAATTAGTTCAAGACACAGACTTTCTAGTCCTTGCAAGATATATGCAGGTGAAGTAATAAAGTTTTTAGCCTATCTTGGGTACATAGTGTTTGGTTTTCTTTCTATTATTCTTCAACTTCAGTGTTCTCTGCTGGTAAAAATACACTAATACTTTTTACCTGTGATCTTAAGCTTTATTGATAAACAAGTTTGTAGTTCAAATTTCAAGATTTGTCATTCTTTTTGTTTCTTGGTGATTATCTTTATTGTAATCACTGTGATGGATGGTCCCTTATTTTGTACAGATACTATCAGGAGACTTTTTGAGAGAATACGGGAAAGACATTATAAACATTCACCATGGTCTCCTTCCTTCATTCAAGGGGGGTAGGCCATCTAGGCAGGTTTGCCTTTTTTTTTTAATTTGGGAGGGGGTATTTATATTCGGAAATTCATGGTACTCAACTTCTGTACAATGTTAATACTTAATAGGCCTTTGAAGCTGGCGTAAAACTAATTGGGGCAACAACTCACTTTGTCTCCGAGGGACTTGATGATGGACCCATCATTGAACAGATGGTAAATTCCTTTTATATCATCTTTTATTCTTTTCTATATGTTCTTGTGGCGCTAAATTGTGCTTTGATTGCTTATAGGCAAACCATGTCATATCTAACTACTTAGGCCATGTTATTTTGTTGTGTTCAGTGTTTAGATTCTATGATGAATGGATTTGAATTGATCTTTATCACATGTAGGCATGTAGCATGGTACATGGTTTAGCTGCTAGCCTGTTTCTAATTAATAATAACTCAGTTTCCGTTCTCTTAAATCAACCATTTATTTGATGGCTTCATATTAAGTCAAGAGCAACAGAAAACATAGCATACTGATATTCCTTTTCGGGATGCCTCAAAATTTTCTTCCCATTTACAAGGTAATGGTTAGTGTAGTTGATATTGTTCCTCTTCTTTGTACTTAAACCAAAACCGTTCAATGACACTTTCTTAATAAGTGTCATGTCAAACAGGGAAGATTTTTTTTGGATGGAGGGACTATCACAATTCTTTCCCTTTGGTTTATGTGGATAATTTTAACTTTCTGTGGAAATTTAAAAGAGGAAAACCCAATGAAAGTACTTGTTTTTATGAAAACGTAGGAGTTCATTTCTTGTGGGTTGAGCGTTGTATTATTTCTTGGGAAGGAGAAAACACCGAACACGTCGAGTGCATATTTCCTATTTGTCATCCCACCATTCTTAGCTGATTGCATGTATGGGACAGAGTAGAGGACAGTAATATGTATTTCAAGAGGGACGAAATGTATTGTGTAAATTTGGTAGGGTATTATACTCCCTCAAAGCTAAGATGTGTGTGTTATCTGTTGCACACTATTCCAGGTTGATAGAGTATCCCACAGAGACAACTTGCGGAGTTTCGTACAGAAGTCTGAGGAACTTGAGAAACGGTGCCTTGCTAAAGCAATAAAGTCATACTGTGAATTGCGTGTTTTACCTTATGAAAGAAACAAGACTGTTGTATTTTGAAACAGCTGCTAAGAAGGTGGGGGAAGCAGAGTTTCATGCCAATAGAAAAGATGTAATTGCATTTAATTTGCGCACAGTTGATTCTTACCAATACGTAGTAGGATGTCCAATTATGTCCAGTAAAGATCTGTTAAACTCCCCTCCAAAGATAATATTTGGTGTTGGGACTGTTGGCTATTGTTGCTCTTGTTTGTTTAGTGTATTGCCCCAATATGGGAATAGCTGAATGCCAGCACTTATGCGCTCTTTTGAACTCTCAGGTCCTAATGGATGATACTTTAGAGTGTTCCACACATATTGATGAATTCCTAAAATATTCAGAATATCTGACCCACTTATTATAATTGGGAGTTTGAACTTTGGAGGGTAACAAGATGTGATCATAGAATGATAAGATGAAACACACATTTATGGATTTGACATTTTACTTAAGTTTTAATTCACTAATTATGGTTTTAAAATGATTGACCCATTCAAAGAATGTTTTTTATTTTATTTTAGGTACCGGCAGTATTTTTCCCATTTTGCATTTTACCCCTCCCAAGTTATGCCCCCCCCCCCCCCCCCCCCCCCCCCCCCCCCCCCACGAATCTTCGACCACACACTAACACAGATATAGTATATACGTAGTACGTACATGACTAAACATGGTTCTTGTATATCATTTTCAGGTACTTTTTTATTTAGAAATACTTAAATTTAATTTTTAGATAGCCATTGATACCAAACAAATGATAATTTTGTCTTAGAATTAACGGATATGTTCAAAAAAGTTGCAGAAAAGTTACAAAAAGGTGACTGAAAGTTTAGAATGCCAATATACATCTGGCATTTTTTTTTTCAAAACACAAATTCGTCATACTAAAAATAAAATAAAATATATTGCATGAATGAAAATTTTGAGAGAAAATGATGAACCAACAGGATTTTTGTCCTCCCTTTCTGAGAATACGAAATTTGTTTGGACAATTTGACTGAGTAAATTTTCTAAAAGTCGTGTTTGGTGTACATCTTTTAGTATACACTAAAAGATGTACACCTTTTAGTGTATACTGAGTACTTTTTATACACACATACTTACTTTTGTCTGTATATCTGCATTTTATAGAACACGCATGCAAAAAAGGGTTTAAAAGGTCTACACTAAAAGGTGTACAAACAAAATTTTATATTTTGGATTTTTTTAAATCTAACTTCTTGATGATTGGATTGTTGTATTATCTCTATCTCTTTGGACATTGCCAACTTTAAATTTGGTCAGAAATAGAAAAAAGTAAAATTGTGTAATTAGAATCACAAATTAGTTACTTTAATTGGAAATTGATAAATTTTTTGAAATAACTAAAAATGGAAAATTAGTAAAGTTCAATGGGACGAAAGGCGTCGAAAAATACCCTAGACCCAGATTATGTAAACATTTTTTTACATTTTATATCTCACAATTTTTATTTGTAGAACCTACATATCTTCATATTTATTTTAATTATCATTATGCATGTCACTTTAACCCACTTTTTATCCATTGTTGCCCCTCGAATCATGTGTAGTCTATGTGTGGACATTGTCATAGACACTTTGTACACTTTATTTCTCTATCTCTTATCTTTTTCAGTTTCCCTTGCACTTTTTCTTTATATTGAATTAAAATAAAATAATTATTATATCTCTATTTCTTCCTATGCTACATAGGACAAACTTCATTACACTCTAAACTACACTATAATTAAATGAAATAAATACCAGTAGAAGGATAAACAGTAGTGATAATGATAAAAACTCGAAGAGTAACTATATTTTTTTAAAATGTAAGATTGAACTAATAATTATGATATCATCTGAAGGATATTAAAGTAATTTGCCTGTGTTCCTAATCTCAACCTTGCGAGTCTGATCTGAATGTTTATGCATACATCCAATTTGGTTGTATGACTGTAAATCCTTTGGTCTGGTTGCAAATTGCAATAGTTATATTGATCCGATTCGATTGCTATAGAGATAAGTAAAAGGAAATTAAAAATGCATTCTTAAACTTTCTTAATTTTTTTATTGAGATAATAAATTTAGGGAAATGGGTTGAGAAAGATTTAGTGAATACTAGGAATTTGACGAGGAGAAAAGAATGCAATCCCCACATTCTTCATTTCTTCTTGGTGACAACTCCGGTACCCAATTAAAAAATGGGGTACCGTACCTATCACTCACTTGATTGGTTCAAATCATTACATCATTATTAATTTAAATTTAAATAATTCAACTACATAATTCTGATTGGTCCATGTGGACAAAGGTATGGTACCTTAAGGGTACCATAGAATCTACCTTCTTTGTATTATTGTATCTTTTTTATTCACTAATCTTTTGAACAAGTCTAAAATGAAGATACTTTTTGTATACTCTCTCCGTCCCAATTTGATTTGCAAAATTTCCTGTTTTGGTTGTCCTAAAATGAATTTACACTTTCTATTTTAGGTATGTAAATAAGAATAAAGTTATAAATTTACCCTTAATTTTACTTTTTCCTCGTTAACTTAAAGGCATCTGCTTTTAGAAAGATGGACAAAAGTATAAAAAACAAACATCATTTATTGTCATTTCTTAATCCTTGTACCGGTCAAAGTTTGCAATTCAATTCGGGACGGAGGGAGTACATTTTTTAGATAGATCATCAGTGACTCATGTTAGATTATTGGACTTATATTGCATGTAATATTCACAATATATTATTTATCGGGTTTAATTGTATGTTATATGCTATCTTATATTTAGGCCCAAAAAATTAGTGGTCCTATGGATATTAATTTAAGTGGGCTAATAAGTTATCTAATAAGGTATAGGGCCCAAATGTGTAGAGACCCATGGGCTTGACCTAATCAATGATGGGCTGATTAGGGTTAAGCACTCTCTATAAATAAGGGGTTATGGTCCCTAGTTGTACACGCCATTCTGTCTTTCTGCATCCCATCGCTAGAGAGATAATCCCGAGGGTGTGTATCAACTAGAAGATACAAACCCTAGCCTCCGTCTCCCGGATCTCTAAAGATCATCTCCCATGGAGTCAGGTACGCTTCCGCTCAGTTAATTTCTCCAGATAATTTCAATATGAAGATTAAAGTATTATCGGATTTATTCCAACAATTGGTATCAGAGCCTCCTTCATATTGAATTATTTGGAGTATACATACTTTTGTTTCAATTTTAAACGAAACAATTGAGTTTTCATCGGATGTTTCTTCTTATTTTCAATCATGCCAATCATTTACGATTGAAATCTGTTGGAGTCAAATCTGTTTGAGATCCAACGTTTTGACATTAATTTTCGGTGCTTCTGCTCAATTCAATTCGCAATATTGAATGAATGGAACTGTGGAATCAACAATTTTGTTTAATTTTCAATATATCGTGCCGATCGATCGATTATGTTTGAATGTTTATTTTCCTTCTTGTTATCAATCATGAAGTTTGTTATTAATCGGGAGTCAGGTGGTATTAGATTGCTAAAATTCTTATCACTTTAGGAAGTATTATTATTTATTAATTTATTATGTTGATTGGGTGTGGCTGATGTGATTGAAATTGATTCACAATTTCTTAGTTCCTTCAAGGAACTGACCACGTACGGTAGGTGTTTGTTCTTGATGCTTCCAGATTTTCAGCCATCAAATTAAAATGTGATTCATACACTTTTATTATTTGATTTATATTAGTTCCAATTTTGAATCAACCCAATCACATGAGTATCAAATTAATTTTTTGATACGTTTCTTTTACGGTGATTCAGTTTTGGAATTTCCTATGGCTTTGGTGATTTAGTACATATATGTGATTATTGACGATTTTGGTAATTAAATACTTATATGTGATTACGGTCAAAGTCAGTTCTATTAGAATTGCATATTTGGAAATAAATTACTTTTGTTGGTGATCATGATTTGCGGCTTGAAAAATTATGTATTATGTGTTATAGAATGTATAAACCCTATTTTGCAATCGCACGACGATTGGGTACGAGTTTTAAAATTATCGTTATACATAATACATTTGCATGTGATTCAGAAAAATTTGCCCAATTTTATTTTTTAAATTTTCGAGTTAATATTAGCATGTCTAATATTTGAGTTAGTTAATTGATACAACATGCTGCCAAAGTAGCCTCTCTTGTTGAAATTAATTAACTCATATATTAAGATGATTGTGTACTTTCTTATTTCATGCGGATAATAATCGGCCCAAAGGAAGGTTATTATTTGGCCGAAATTTAAGTACATTTGTGATGATAAAATTTGTGATGATTATGAAGTTTTTCGTGTGAATATTAAGTCGGTCCAAAGAAAGGCTTAATATTTGACATGATTTTATTATCCAAATTTTATTATCACACCAAGAGTACCACTTGCAAGTCTAATTTATGTCCAAAGACAAGATTAGATGTTGCGTTAGGTATCTTGTGATGGGGATTGCTAATATTTAAATTTAAAATTAATTATCAAATTAATTTCAGTTCCTAGAGCATATCATTTATATTATTTTTGTTCTCTTTCAGTCAACAATTCTGCTGCTACAATATCTGCTAATATTAATAGCATCCCAGTGCTTAACGGCACAAATTTTAAGGAATGGAAAGAGAATGTTATGATCGTTCTCGGTTGCATGGATCTAGACCTTGCACTTCGGACTGAGAAACCCGCCGCTCTTAAGGACACATCTACCCTCGATGAAAAGAGGGAGATGGAGAGGTGGGAACGCTCAAACCGCATGAGTCTAATGATCATGAAACGTGCAATTCCAGAATCATTCAGGAGCACAATGTCTGATGAGGCCGATGCAAAATCATTCCTTGCCGAACTTGAAAAGCGTTTTGCTAAAAACGAAAAGGCGGAAACTAGTACTCTTTTGAGCACTCTTGTTTCCATGAAGTATAAAGGCAAAGGGAACATAAGGGAGTACATTTTGGAAATGTCTCATATTGCTTCAAAACTAAGTGCACTAAAGCTTATTTTACCTGAGGAATTGCTTGTGTATTTAGTTTTGATCTCTCTTCCTTCTCAATTTAATCAATTTAAAGTCAGTTACAACTGCATTAAGGAGAAATGGTCTCTCAATGAGCTCATTTCTCATTGTGTTCAAGAGGAAGAGAGAATAAAGCAAGATAAGACAGAAAGTGCTCATTTGGCATCTACCTCTAAGGGCAGCAATAAACGAAAAATTAAGGAAGCTGCAAATTCGGGGCCTCCCAGGAAGCATCACAAGGAAACTAAGGAAGAAACTAAGGAATCTGGATGCTTCTTTTGTAAAGGGACTAATCACAAGAAAAAGAACTGCACTAAGTACCATGCTTGGCGTGCGAAAAAGGGTATGTCTCTTG